TTCTCTGTCTTATAACTATTATTACCAGTGGTTGTCCAGACATTCTCTAATTCCTTCAGCTTTTCTTGAATCTATCAGATTTTATGTTCAACATTGTCCTCAAGTATTCGAATGGTTCCGTACACTTCTGTGTCATTAACATTTTTCTTTGAGTTTATGTTTGTTTCATGCATTTTTGCTTCCACTGTAATGGTTGCAATGACCCCCTTGGATTTTAGTCATGCAACCTATTTAGGCACATTGACACGTACATCAACACTGCAAGCTTGAACATACCAAACGTCGAAAACACCAAACTGTTGACAGCTCTATGTTTGTTGCCCCCAGCGATGTTCTTTTCGGTCAATAAGCCAGAGGTTTGTTTTCTATGGTAGCAGCTACTGTATAGTACGTTCTAATTACTATCATTACCTGGATCGATTTCACGCGCTTAGCACATCTCACCGTTGCACTTCAGAATCGTCAAATCTGCATTCACAAACCGCTTAGCTCAGCAGACGATCTTGCCTCCATTTCAAGTTGCCGTAGAGTGATAGCCAGGTTTTCTCAGGAAACAGGCCGACAGCTTTATCACATTCACTTGATCTCAGCCACGGCCATCTTGAGATATAAATAAAGATACAGATGGGCGTGTCTCAGCATACAGTCACCTCAGACATTCCACGCCCCACAAGACCAGGCTCTTATCGAATCGAAAGCAAGGATCGGCTTTCTTATTCGCTCTAAGTTCATAATCTGTTCTTCCTCTTTTGCACTGAAACGTTCTACTCACGATTTTACGCTTTTCTCATCTGACACCCTTCAGCCGAACTGCACGTTTGCCTCAAATTGGTAATCACTTACACGATTGGTTCAGGCATTTATGATAATTAGTAATGGATGCCATTCATCAGGATTCTCGAACATAGTTGATGTTTAGTAGTTGTCTTTATTTTCAAATAATTAGAAAATTTACAAATAGTGAGATAATGAACCTTTACAGTGATAATTGAATACTTAATTCACATTATCTCCAATTGGTACGGGTGATACTTCCGAATAGGCATAGTCGTTGTGTTAATGTGTAAATCGAAACACGCATAAAAAGCAACTTTATACATACATTTGACAAATTTCTTAACAAAACAGAGGGAGAAAAGGGAAACTGTTAAATACGAATAGGCTAAATTGTTACAGCTTAGGCTTGATCAGTCATTTAAAGACGAAATCCATTCTTCTCGATTAACTTTGCGTTCAGGAATTAATAATAAAACAGGTCAGCTGACACTGCATTTCCGACAGTGCCCTAACTACCTTATATGAAGCTTCTTATCTGGGACTTGTACCAAACAATGTGTCGCTGAAACTGTGAAGCGTACAACTCGATACAAGGAGTTTGTAATTCCTTTATGAAATAGATAGAAGATCGCTTAAGGATTATGTAATGTATAGGTAAAAAGACAAAATAATTCTGGGACAGGTGGGAGGCCTTATCCTAAATGTTATCGATAATGTCGAGTGAACGAGAGGTGCTGCAATTCTGCAGTACCTATGCATGAGCCGCCACTTATTACCTTTACATATTAAAAGTGCTATTTGGTTGTTTCGTGTGGTTTACTCCCATAATACAGCCGGGTTACACCGAGCTGGTATAGCCGGTACGGGTGCCCTAATTATAACTTCTTAGGAGGTTAAATTGCATATCTGAGATCTGCTTTGTTCGTCTGATGTAATTATCGTTTTAAAAGCACTTAAAGGGTGGTATTTCTAAGGCTTGCATACTGTGTCAGTCTGCTGCTCGACCGTGTATACAGTTACATAGTACTTGGGGGAGATCAACTGCATACCGACTCGTTTGGAGACAAGATATGTCGCAGTTGGAAAAAGATCAAAAGCAGCAAGCTATATAGAAGAGACGTGTGAGGGAGGAAAACCAGGCTCAGGACAATAGATTATCGACGTTTTTATGTGGACTTTGTGGCAGAGACTGCCACGCCCACACTGGACTTTACATTCATAACAGACGAGGCTCACAAAACAGCGGCACAACTTCGTGGTCCCCAGGGACTGACAGTTGCCCCTTTTATATATATATATGTTTGTGTGTGTGTAAACGCGCGCGTGTGTGTGTAAGTGTATGTGTGTGTAGTGTTGTTCGTCCATCACGAGTGATGAAGACCACTTTCATTCAAAGTAGTAATGGTTAATGATTATGAGTACCAAGTTGGCTGATTAGTCCAATATGAGCATGGACAGTTCTTGAGCAGTGCGGACAACAGATGGACACCGCAGTGAGTGTTGGATTAGCAGTACGATTCTTTCTATTCTGCCTCCGTTTTTTTTTTTTTTTTTTTGCCCGTGCAACCTCCGCTGAATGACAGGCCGATGCACCATGCCTGAGGGACGTACGCCATCCAGAACGGTCTTGCGCAGCAGCCTCCAACGGCGCTGTGTTAATGTCAAAGGAATTCAGAGCAGTCTTAAGAGTGTCCTTATAGCGCTTTTTCTTTCCTCCCTTGTACCTATTTTCATGCTGGAGCCATAAAATACTCCCTTTGGGAGGCGATATTCTGGCAAGCGGGTGAGATGAGTAGCCTAACGCAGCCGATATTTCTTCAGTATCGTATGGATGCTAGGCACGTTTTCCTTATCAAGAGCCACAATATATACATATATATACATATATACATATATAAATATATATATACATTCAGCATATTTCAGCAAGTTTCAGCATAAATGTGTGTGTGTACGTATATATATATATATATATATATATATATATATATATTTGTGTGTGTGTTATAAATAATGTCAAGTTATCTTAAGATATTGTGTGTGTGTATATATATATTATATATATATATTATATAATATGTATATATATATATATATATAGATAAGAGCTGTACTGAATAGGTGATTATTACTTTTCGGTCAAATTAGAATAACGGGACCAACTATTCGGCCGAATACGAATACGAATAGTGTATATTGTATAAAACAGATCTTAAAAAAACATTCATAATGTCAAATGAACGCTGAACTTTTACTTCACAAAATGTAGTACAGAATAGTAAACATTTGAAAACAGTTAATGTTTTGCATCAGTTATTCAGTCTGCGGTGACTAATAACTAGGAATGAAAGTATTCTAAAGATTATAACAAGTAACTAAAGTTGTAAATTGTCACTGACAGCTTTGTTAATGCATGAAAGTGGCATTAGCTTTCAATAAATCCAGTCGTTCCGTGTTATCAGCATTAGGGCAGCTTCTCGTCTCACTGAAAGTATTTCTAGCAGTATTAAACAGACGTTTACTTGGAACACTAGTAGGTGGTGCACGAAGATAACGCTTGACAGTATGAACCAAGGCTGGAAATCTTGACATGTTTATTTTCCACAAGTCCAGTGGGTCAGTGTCTAGTTATTCACGTCTGTTTCAATGGTAACTGTAATGTCACTATTCTGTGCCTTAGCATGCTGCAACTGATCACACGAGGTCCAAAAGTCGTTAGGTTTCATTCTTTTTTTTTTTTTTTTTTTTTTTTTTTTTTTTTTGGAGGGAGGGGGGGATTTGTGAGTTCTTCGTCAACTGCAGGAAAAACTTCAGAAGTTTGCACTGTGGCTGTATATGTCGATGACTGGCAATTTAATGTGGTAGTCACAATGTCTGTCTTGGCTTGTAATTGCTGCACACTGGTCCAAAAAAACGTAGTTTGAAGCCAGCTGAGAACGCATACAAGCTATTGTCATATAAGTTCGAAAAATCTCCTCGTCATTGATGCTACAAGTTCGCTGACTGTCTTCTTGATGCCCTCTCTCACACACATCTTTCTGAACATACAACAAGATAGCCTGAACAGCTAGAAGGATTACTGAAAAGCATGAATTGTTGCCGCTTATTTCACGTGTCAATTGTTCAAATGGCTGCAGAATTGCAACAATTCTTGTTGCTAGAACCCATTGGCTTGTTGTCAGTGTTAGAGCCTTCTTATAACCACTATTCGTATTCTGCCCTACAGCAAGAATTCGGCCCAATTTGAAATAGTTATTAGGTCCACTATTCGGTCCCTACGCGAATACGAAGCAAATGTTCGGTATAGCTCTAATATATATATATATATATATATATATATATATATATATATATATATATATATATATATATATATATATATACAGCTTTACCAGAAAGTATTAGGACATTATCACCGCAAAAGCTAACATAATTTGTTTTCCTTGCTTTTGTTTCCCCAGTTTACAGCTTGGAATTTTTCCGTTGAATGTGAACACTTTCAAAGTGTATATACGGCTAGAGATGATGATGAATTCCTGAGACTGAGTCTCAGAAAGGGCTCCTCCTGTAATGTGACTCAGATCCCGCCTTTAGAATTCGATCATTACAAGTGTCAACCAGGATGGTTTCAACCGGTCGTGAGTGAGTGCAATGTGACAGGTAAATGGCCGGAATATGACACAGATATTGTAACATTCTGCGCACGGCCAAGTTCTTTGTTGGATCACATATGCGTCGCTGAAATAAACAAAACAATTTGCTACAGAAATGTTTTCTGTGCTCTGTGTAATATTCCCAAAGACCCTGTATGGTTTCGTGAGTGTTCCCTGCAGTGCACGGGTCCAGTCCTAACGGAGACGTATTTGCCGTTCAGTCTTTTGTTTAATTTTGGTAACAGCAAGCTGCAAGAAGATTCTGAGCCATTACTGCAGTACAATACATCCGATACTGAGTGGACTAGTCCAGATGGAAGGATTCTGCCTTTGGAATGTTCGCCGGGGAAGATTTTACTCAATGGAAGTTGTTCGACCGGGGTCACGGAGATTTCTGGACTCACATACAATATCAGCATTTTGTATATTCCCACATTTTCGCCCAACCTGACAGTAAAGGGTGGCAAACCGTTTAGTTTAAAATCTGTAGATTATCTAAACTTTTGGGATCCGTATTTAAAAGTATTTGAGAGAAGAATTGAGAACATTCTGTCAGCGCGAACAGATTTCATGTCTTTATCCAGTAAAATAATAATCCCGAAAGCCGCTGAATTCTGGAATACCTCGACTGAACAAACTAATGATGAGACAGTCCTAAAACAACACAGTTTCGTGTGGTATTATTTACAAGGTGTCATTATTGCAGAAAGGACACAAGGTCGAGACGATTTTGAAAATGACATTATTAAGCATCTCATTATCGATAAATTCAACATACAATTCGATGGTAACACATCATTGCGTTTTACAGCGGTTGTCATTCAGAAAAATCAAAAAGATCTGTTTGACGATTATAATTTACGCAAGAACAATCTTACTTTTTTAAAATCAGATCTAGAAACAGTTACTGCTTTAGATATCGGTGCATCTATGACGCATAGCATTTACATGTCACCTGAACTCAGTTGTCCATTTGTATCGTTTAATAAATCAGATTATGTCATTGATGTCAACAATGATGTTTTCCCACCAAAAATGATCATTACTCTAAAGTTTCAGAGAGGGAAGTTGGAATTTAGAGACACCGATAAGCTCATATATTTATCTGTTGATGATAAAGAAAATTTGCAAGTGTGTAAGCAAATCTTAGACGGTAAATGTTCCCATTTGACGTCGTTTATAGTCGTTCGAGACACTGCCCTATTTCGTGCTCTGCAAATACTTACCATTGTGTGTATCGGCTTGTCTATGTTGTTTCTGGTTCTCACCTTATTGACGTATATACTATTGTTAGAACTGCGAAACTCTGCGGGGGTGAATATTATCTGCCTATGTTGTAGTCTATTATTTGCTCAAGCATCTTTGATAGTTGCTTCCCAAATTAGAGAAACTGGATACTTTTGTACTGCATCTGCGATAACTATCCATTACTTGTGGCTAAAAGTATTTTGCTGGTGCTTTTCTTGTAGTTATAATATGTTTCGGGTGTTTACTGCTAAAACTCGAAGCGCACGCTCTTCTAGTCGATCCAAGAAAGAACTTTTAATAAAAATATTTTTTTGTCTGATTACTCCCGCTTTGGTAGTAAGTGGTGTCATTGTGGGGAATCTGCTGTCTTCTGGCTATAAACGTACTGGATATGGACATACATTTTGTTCTCTAGATTCACTTTTACTGATGTATTTTACTTTATTATTGCCCATCATGGGAATTCTGTTGTCGAATTTTCTTTTCTACATAATTTCTGTCATCGAAATTTACAATGCTCGCAAACTACAAACTCCCGATCTTCTGTCTAAACAAGAACTCAGTAAAAACATCTTTATCTATCTCAAACTATCCACAGTAACGGGAACTTTCTGGATACTCACTGTCATAACCGAAGCCACAAACATCAACGCACTCAGAGTTATCGCCATTCTCATGAATGGACTCCAGGGTGTCTTCATCTTCGTGTCTTTTGTCTGTAACAAGCGAGTCCTCAAAATGTACAAACAGAAAATAGGCTTCTAATATAAGAATTTTGAGAGTTTTATTCGCATAACCTTTTACGAACACATTTGAACAGAATATAGTTTATTTTGTGCAAGATGATTCAATGTAATATTAAAAGTAGAATAGCTCAAGCTAAGGCAATATTTCAAAAGAAAGAATATTTATTATGCACAATTTTTCTTTGTCAATTAAGAGAGACAAATAATTTCATGAACTTTATACCTCCTATCCTGATTAGTGAAAACATATTTGGAAAAAAAAAAAAGAGAAAAAGGGGGGGGGGGGGGTGGAGATGTGACTTTATAGTTGAATGATGAGAATACCCTGAACAGATAAATGGAATAGTGAAGGTTTCTTGAATGAAACTGATTCACAAAGAGAACTGATTGTCCGCATCAGACGGGGACAATTTACATTATTTGTTCATGTCATGAGACGGAGAAAACTTGCGTAATCTTGACGATAGGAAAGTTGCAGGGGAAAAGAAGCAGATGGAGTCTAAGAGAGAAGATGCTGGGCAGTTTGCTATCATCGCATGGAAGATCATCTGTGTCAGAACTGATTAAAAATACACGAGACAGAAGGTTGTGAACGGGAAGTCACTTATGGCGCCCTTGATAGTTTATGTTGATAAGTCCTATAATTTGCATTTGCACTTTCATAATGTTTTAAGTGATCTATTATTGGTATTATGGCTGTACCGAATAGTGATTTTTACTATTCGGCCGAATACGAATAACGGGACCAACTATTCGGCCGAATACGAATACGAATAGTGTATAAAATATATTTATTTTAAAAAAAAACATTCATAATGTCAAATATACGCTGAACTTTTACTTTACATAAAGTAGCACAGAATGGTAGTCATCTTCTTCTTTAGCATTCTAAGCCCTTGAGGTTTACTGCTTCTGATATCACTCGTCTCCATTCATTTCTCTTGCTGGCCTTATCTTCACAATTTGTGACCCCAGTTGTTTGCAGGTCTGGCTGGACATTATCTCTCGAACTTATTTTGTGTCTGCCTTGTGGTCTATGCCCATTCCTCTCTTAGGTGTATACAGTTTTTAATTCTCTGTCATCTGACATTCTTTCGATGTGCCCCAACCATTTTAGTCGGTTAGCTCTCATGAGGCAAGTGATCAATTGTGATTTAAACAGACTATGTGTTACATCGTTGCTTCTCACTCTCCATTCCCCGCTGTTAGCATCTTTGATGGGTAAGACTGTTTTCGAAAACCTGTAATAAGGCCTCGTCTATTTTATTTCTGCTTCAAGTTTCAGAGCCATAAAAAACGACTGTTCTTATCAACGTTTTATATATTTTGATCTTGGTGTTACGAGAGAGACACTTTGACTTTAGCAGATGAAGGGCATAGTACACTTTATTTCTAGATTGTATTCTAAATTGCATTTCTTCTCTCAGCATATTGGAGCAATCGAAGTTTGCACCCAAGTACTTGTATGTTTCCGTTCGTTTGATTTTCATACTATCGACTTGGATGTGGCCGAAGTTTATATTCTTTCCATGTCTAATTAGTATTCGTACAGAATAGTAAACATTTAAAAACATTTTATGTTTCGCATCCTACAGTTATTCTGTGGTTACTAATAACTAGGAATGAAATAATCCTAAGTATTATAACAAGTTACTGAACTTGGAAATTTTCACTGACAGCTTAGTTAATGCAGGAAAGCTGCAATAACTTTCAACAAAACCAATCATTCCATATTGTCAGCATTAAAGCTGTGTATACAGAAGCGAGTGTAAGGTAACTACTATTCGTATTCGGCCCGACCGCAACTATTCGGCCGAATACCGAATAATCAATAGTTCCACTATTCAGCCCCGAAGCGAATACGAAGCGAATATTTGGTACAGCCCTTATTGGTATCATGGATATTATATACGTGTTCAGCTTTACTGTATGAGATATGCTTTTTGAGATTAAAACTTGCATGGAATAAAGATCTGTTTCAATTTAAGGGACGCGACCACCCCTTCCCACCCAAGACACACACATACATATATTTTAACAGGACCTTAGTGAACATCATCTCTTGATATCTGAGTTATACACAATGCCGCATTTTTTTTTCAAGGATACGGGCAACTTCAGAAGACATAATATAAAGACAAAAACGATGAAGTCATGCAGATCAAAGAAATGCGTTGTCCGCTATATAAAGAGTCGAATGGTCCTTGCAGTAAAGTGTAAGAATAAGTGTGATGGAAAACAAACAGGCAGGAAGACTGGCTGGTTCTGCGCCATTTGGTGGTGAATAGAGTCATGAACAACTAGATGTTGTAAAAGTCCGTTGGAAGCGAATAAGCAATGCAGAGGCACAAATAGACTACAACTCTGAGGAGAGAATGGCGCAGCAAGGAGACACCAGGGAGATCTGACCGATGCTTAACACTCAACTAGAATAGGGAGACGGATTTACAGTCAGACTGTTACTGCAGGCATCCGAGTTGCAACTCTAAGCTTGTTGTTGAATATGAGTGGTTGGGGATGTAGTACGACGAAGCACTTATGGGAATGTCTTGTTTAACTATCGTTTCTAAATTTTAGTGGTTCTGTAACATATATATATATATATATATATATATATATATATATATATATATATATATATATATATATAATTTTATAATTATATATAAGATTTTAGGCACTTTAATCTTAGTTTTTATTATTTCTACCCAATCCAATCATTATAAGTTGTCCAATCAGATATATATATTCATATATATATATATATATATATATATATATATATATATATATATATATACAGACTTTTTAAACAATTATGTTTGTGATCTACTGATTTTTATTTAATGTTTTAAGTGTTATATTCTTAAATGTGTTTCTCTGTGTAATTTCTATATTTCTGTTTTTAAATATTTATCCATTTTTCAGGATACCAATTTGAAAGAGTTTGTCTGAAAACAATATGAAATTAAATTTTCACAACTCATTAAACCAATCAGTTTTATTTGTCTTTGTTGACTTTTTAAAACTGTTTTCGTGTCATCGTTTTCTCCCACTAGTGTGTTAGCTGTTGAGATAAAGTACAGATGTTTACAAGCAAAGAAACTGAAACACTTATTGCCTTAAGCACCTACATTTAAATTGGACATTGATTATATAAATATGACTAAAGGAATAAGTCAGGACTTGCTGTATTGTTCACCGAGAGATTCAAAGTAGGGATTCAGAGTAGATCATGAGAATGTTTATTTTTTTTCCCCCAAAGATAGATTCATAGCAGTCATGTAGATAATATGAAAATAGTCCTTTGAAAAATCAGATATAGGATAGATTTGTGGCCCAAAACTTAATAATGCCTTGTCTTGTTCGGATGAGGGAGATTCGGCATCATGCCGCTTTGGAAGGTCAGCCTTTCAGAATCCAACGCTCTAAAAGAAAACCATTAAAAGCCAGCAAATTCCGGGGTTGATTGATTCATAGCTATGATGTAAAATAGATTTAAAAATTCGATCGCAGATTTCCTAGCAATGAAGTAGAGTCGATTATGGGGCTGTATTAGTAGTGTAGTAGGTAAAGAATCTATTTCATTTTCTGAGCTTTTTGTTGTTTAGGCTATACTAATAACCCTTAATATTGAAAATATAGGAAGATACTCCCTCTGGAGGGGAGGGTCCCTTTTCATGGAAAACGCAAAATATGTTTCTAAAAGTGAGGGGCAAAATATTCTTTTAAGAATGGAACCACGTCTTTTTCATTATACCAACTAAGGAAGTCTCTAAGTGTCTTCATTGGAAACCTGAAGCCAGATAACTTGAGATATCTAAGTATTTTAGCTTTTTTGTAGACAGACACATAAAGTTATTGTTCCTCTTCACAACACAATTGAAAGGCAAGTAAGAATCTTGCTCCAAGAAATACTGGACGAGAAACGGCCTAATGATATTAAAATTATAGTTACTGAAGTTAAACCCAATAGTGGGCATCTCTTTCAAATACACCTCTAACCTTTCACTCAGTTTACCTTCACCTAACACTTTTAACTGCTCAAAGACACTAGAAAACTGGGCCCTGAGAACGACATGAGAAGCCTCGGAGATGATGATCGGGTAATCCATCATTTCGTTTACTAAGAGTTGATGATTGCCTTTACTACCGAAAAATGAAGGTTTTTCGGAAGCCTACATAAAAGGTTGGAAAATAATTTAAAGAGGAAAACAAGAGACATAACTTCAATCGTTGTTGTTAAAATATGTTTTCCTGTTTTATTGTTTTTGCCAAGTAATTTATTTGTAATATTCATCGATACAATAGTGGCTAAGGGCGTCTGATTATACAATACAAATGTTATTTGCCACTCGGCTTTATTTCATTTTATAAATTAATATAAACAAAGCATATTCAATATTTGTAAAAATGATGTTTCACTTCAAGCGATCTGCTGGGTCGTGGGCAAAAATTAAAGTTAATACTATATCCCTTACGCCCGTCTTAGGACGTAGTTTTTTGTTATTTGAAGCCGCACTCTGGCTTTTGCCAGGGGCCGCAATATGGGCAGGCCATCAATATGGCCAATTGTCTGATCGCGGTTTCTGGGACCTCTCCACGGTAATCCTCATCCGCATGGTGGCACTATGTGTCATCGGGTGTTTATCGCTTGTGTGATGTCCTGGTGGGGTAGAAAGTCAGTCAGTCAGTCAGTCAAAGTTAATATCCTCTAATTACTTTCAGGGATGTAATTTTTCTTTATTAGAAGCCCTACCCTGGCTCTTGAAAGGGACAGCAATTTAGCCCGGCCATAAAAATAGTCTTATGGCTAAACGCGGTTTCTGGGACCTCTCCAAGGGGGAAAAATAGATAAGTTAGAAAAATTGTTCTTTTCAATGCATAAATTCTTCTTCTTCTTCTTTCGTTCGCTTGAAAAAAAATTGTCTATATCAGCAATTTTGTCTCTTGTATAAATTTTACTGTCGTTGTTAGTTCATTCAGTGGTCAATAGAGTTTACGTTCCACTGTTGTTCT